CCCCCCCCCCCCCCCCCCCACATAATTAAATTTCAACTGAAAGAATAACTGTCGTTTTTTAGGGGTTTCACCGCTTCTGTATGACAGTCATTGGCCTTTAATGGGCAGAAAACTCAGCAACGCAAGAAAAAGAATGCTACAGTACCAGCACTACCAGCATTGTTGTACACCAGACGGTTATCTGCCTTAACACGCACAGCTATCTTCAATGACATGCTGAAGATAAATAAATGTACATGACTTTGAAAAATCACTCTTTCCAAATAGACGTATAAGGTGTTGGCTAAAGATATTCTTTAAGTCGTATAGGATGTTTGCTAAGGGTAGACTTAGAAGATGTTAGCTAACGATATTCTTATATGATGTTGGCTCACGGTAGACGTATTGGATGTTGGCAAGGTGATCGAGTTAAAAGATGTTAGCTAACGATATTCTTATATGATGTTGGCTCACGGTAGACGTATTGGATGTTGGCAAGGTGATCGAGTTAGAAGATGTTAGCTAACGATATTCTTATATGATGTTGGCTCACGGTAGACGTATTGGATGTTGGCAAAGTGATCGAGTTAGAAGATGTTAGCTAACGATATTCTTATATGATGTTGGCTCACGGTAGACGTATTGGATGTTGGCAAAGTGATCGAGTTAGAAGATGTTAGCGCGATAGATTTATAGGATGTTGGCAAGCGTCATCAATTATAAACGGTATAGGAACAATTTTACCCACACCTGGTCGTCCACTCTCACTTCCCGACATTGGGGCTACCTACAAGAAAGCCTGAGGAGAAGGGGTGCGACCGGTACATTGTTCCGGGGCCATGGAGCTCAATGGGTGCCCATGAAGTAGACAATTTATGATAAAACCAAATTTTTGAAAAGATAAACTATACTTTGTATATATAGCGAAACAGCCCTGTTTGACACGTACATACTTGTTTATAAAAGACCTGTTCAATTTCCTAAAACTTTTTTCAAAAAGATATAGATAAAAGGTTTTTCCTGAAAGTTTTCTAACATCTCGAAATTTAAATTTGAAAAAAAACGTGACAGAGATGAAGGCTTGTCTGTAGTGAAGTTACACAAGAATTAGTTTGCTTTCCTTGTCGATTATATTGGAACTAGATCTGTTGCAGCACTAACTAAGCGTCTTAGTCTATGCTTGTATCAACAGAAGGATGGTCAGCATTTAAGTCTATGCTTGTATGAACAGAAAAATGGCCAACATCTAAGTCTATGCGTGTATGAAAAGGAGGATGGTCAGCATCTAAGTCTATGCTTGTATCAACAGAAGGATGGTCAACATCTAAGTCTAAGTCTATGCTTGTATCAACAGAAAGATGGTCGGCATCTAAGTCTATGCTTGTATCAACAGAAAGATGGTCAACATCTAAGTCTATGCTGGCACTTGTATCAATAGAAAGATTTTCAAAATTTAGAAAGTGGGAAAATTTATGTATTCGCATCCCAGCACATGAGTGAAGCCATTGTCATAGGAATCCAATTCTACAAGAACATTTGTTGCAAGTTAAAGAGTCAAAAGAAAAGGAAGAACACCTTCAAATGCATTATCTCCGTGCCGATTCCCAGAACAAGTTCATTGTTAAATTTCCTCACTTGTTAAGCAACATATTTGTAAAGAAAGGAAAACTGCCAAGTACGTTTCTGTTATTGTTCATTCCAAGCCAGATTTTCCCCCTGTTCAACAAACATTTCTCTTGCGTTATGTAATACCATAATGTGAGAACCATTAGGAATTTGTAGATTTTAACAGTTATTTTTAGACAAGCCATAAAACAGGATATGACATAACGCAGATGACAGCATCAAATTATTATAAAACTTCTTAGAGTTGAAACAAAATGTCAGAACAAAAAACATAATAAGTTTTCCTTCATTTATGTGATAATGTCTGATGTTTGGTGCAGAGTGTCAGCTCCATGCAGTTGATATCTGTAACAAGATTATTCAATCCTGAACTGCAACGATTGATGGTGAGATTGATTTCAGAACTGACAAACATTCTAAAGTATGTAAGCGAAGTATGTAAGCGAAGCTAAAACATGTTGCTTCTGTTTTGTGCGTAGAAGTGAAAATCCCTGGAACTCCGGGTGAAGCAGAACACACACAAAAAGATGGTATATTATGAAGGTGGTACCGAATTTACCATCCGTTCATCAAGCAAATTTTGGAAGGGGCCAACTAAGTCCATTAAAGCTACCGAGTCCACTAGAGCCACTGAGTCACTTAGAGCCACTGAGTCAATTAGAGTCACTTAGAGCCACTGAGTCCACTGAAGCTACTGACTGATTTTAAAAGTTTAAATTTGGAAGGACTCTCTACAAATATATGGATCTGCCTCCGTATTCTGTTGACACGTCCTGCCACTGTCGATTCGGCAGAGCTCCCATTCAGCAAACTAAAGCTTGTCGACTATATCACAGACGTGACTGGTACATTAGACAATTCTCAGTTTTGAGTCTGTTCTTGCAAAAATGATTGATTTTGATGATGTGATACGCAAATTTGCCAGAGAAATGGGTAAGGAAATCATTTTTAGCCGAATATAATTTTCATTACATGAGCTTGTGTTTAACAAAGTATTGAACTCAATTCTCTCTTTTATTGTTTCATCATTGTTTACCTTCTAATTTGTATGAATATTTTTATGATTTTTTACAGAAGCACGTGTCATTATACAGGCAAGTAGGTTTGAATGAACTTAATAAATTATGGCAGCTTTCTGTGTCCATGAGGGGGCCCTATTTTTAGTCTTGTTCCAGCACTCCATATGAGGGGGCCCTATTTTTAGTCTTGTTCCAGCACTTCATATGAGGGGGCCCTATTTTTAGTCTTGTTCCAGCACTTCATATGAGGGGGCCCTATTTTTAGTCTTGTTCCAGCACTTCATATGAGGGGGCCCTATTTTTAGTCTTGTTCCAGCACTTCATAATCCAATCGGTGTCCCCAGCACTTGCTGGACTTTATCGGCGACAAAATATTTTTTTAAATAAAATAACTAGATGAGGTGGAAGGGACGCTGGATATTTCATGTTTTGTGGTTAAGAGTCTAGCGCCGCCTATGGGTAGCCCAAGGAGTGTTCGGGAGTACAAGTACAGCATTATTCCCTCCTTTGATTGCACACTTTTCATTGATAATATCAAATTATCAGCATCGACTAATGTAGTATGGCTGGCTGATTTATTGTGGCCGGCCAAAGATCCATGGCCGCCTATAGTATCATGACCGGTTAAGTTAGCATGGCCGGCTATAGTATCATGACCGGCTAATGTAGCATGGCCGGCTAATGTAGCATGACCCGCTAATGTAGAATGGCTGGCTAATGTAGCATGGCTGGCTAATGTAGCATGGCTGGCTAATGTAGCATGGCTGGTTAATGTATCGTGGCCGGCTAATTTAGCATGGCCAGCTATATTATAGTAACATTGCCGGTTATAGTACCATGGCCAGCTAATGTAGCATGGCCAGCTTATGTAGCATGGCCAGCTAATGTAGCATGGCCGATTAATCGGTTATGGTCCTTTCGGAATATTGAGGCTACACTTGTATATTGATGTCAGATTAAGCAAAAGAATTAATTCTTTTATGAAATAAATATCCGTTTGAACTATTACTCTTACCCTCCACTACATGCATTTCCTGGCGCACCTACACCATCCATTACACAACCAGCTGAGACACATTCCATCAAACAAACCTACACCATCCATTACACAACCAGCTGAGACACATTCCATCAAACAAACCTACACCATCCATTACACAACCAGCTGAGACACATTCCATCAAACAAACCTACACCATCCATTACACAACCAGCTGAGACACATTCCATCAAACAAACCTACACCATCCATTACACAACCAGCTGAGACACATTCCATCAAACAAACCAACCCATCCCTTACACAACCAGCTGAGACACATTCCATCAAACAAACCAACACCATCCCTTACACAACCAGCTGAGACACATTCCATCAAACAAACCAACACCATCCATTACACAACCAGCTGAGACACATTCCATCAAACAAACCAACACCATCCATTACACAACCAGCTGAGATACATTCCATCAAACAAACCAACACCATCCATTACACAACCAGCTGAGACACATTCCATCAAACAAACCAACACCATCCATTACACAACCAGCTGAGACACATTCCATCAAACAAACCAACACCATCCATTACACAACCAGCTGAGAAACATTCCATCAACAACAACAAAAAACCCATCCAAACACAACCTTCCAATCACAAACCCATACACTGCCCTACACAACCAAACAACGTCAGTGTACATCTATTGTTCTGTTTCTTTATAAACAATGAACTCTCATACCAATTTCGAAAATGAACATTTTTCATAAAATAATAGTATCAAATAGATCTTGAGCAACAAATGTCTAATCCGAATCATGCTGGAAATCTTGTTTCCTACAACGAATCCAGGTTGGAGCACTTCAGACACCGTAGAACAGACGCGTGTTCTCCCTGCATGTCTTGAAGACCTCGTCTGTTGAGACCCGCCTCAGCTCACCGATGGCCTTGGCGGTGAACAAGGCGAACCCGAAATGGGTTGTGGCCACGTGTTTCTGGAAAATGGAAACATTGTAAAGTAACATACTGGAGTGGGTGAGTAGGTTGGTGAGTAGATGGGGAGGAGGTGACAAGTGGGTCTGAGTAGTTCGGGAGTATGAGAAAGTCAGGAGTAGGTGGTGAGAAGGTCATGAGTAGGTTGTGAGAAAGTCACGAGTGGGTGGTGAGAAAGACAGTAGCAGGTGGTAAGAAAGTCAGTAGCAGGTGGTAAGAAAGTCAGAAGTAGGTGGTGAGAAAGTCAGGAGGAAGTGGTGAGAAAGTCAGGAGGAGGTGGTGAGAAAGTCAGGAGGTGATGAGAAAGTCAGGAGGTGGTGAGTAGGTGATGAGTATCGTAACGTAGTTGGTGGTGACTAGCCGAATCTAGCTGGTGATGAGCTTATAGATGTAAAAAAAATTACGGGCACCACCATGCTACACTTACCCTAAAGTTCTAAGGAACTATCCGTTCTACACTTACCCTAAAGTTCTAAGGAACTGTCCGTTCTACACTTACCCTAAGGTTCTAGGGTACCACCCGTTCCACACTTACCCTAAAGTTCTATGGCACCATTCGTTCTACACTTATCCTAAAGTTCTAGGGCACCACCCATTCTACACTTACCCTGAAGTTCTCGGGCACCACGGTGCCAGATTCCAGTAAAATTCTTTCCAGAGGTACGGCCCTGACCATGTCTTTAACACAAGCTGGAGCTGTTCTGTCGACAATGGATGATGTCAAACCGAAGTACACGTTGGGGAAGCTGGCCATCCAACGACTTGCAAGGGATTTCCCACCAGTAAACCCCTGCAGGTGGATCTTCTGCAATTTTGGTACGTGCTGAAATAAGAAAGAAATGAAAAGTCAGAAATGTGAATATACCGATCACACGATATTCTACATGAAAGCATACTTCCGTACTTAAGCACTATTCGTGGCAACGTTCTGTTACGTCTCAGGAAAGATACAAAATACATTTCAACAACAGGGCACAACAGAGTATGATAGGGCACAACAGAGTGCAACAATGTAAATCAGAGTACAACAGGGTAAAACAGCGCACAAAAAGGTACAACAAAGTACATCAGGGTACAACAATGTGCATCCGAGGACAACAAGGTACGTCTGAGTATAACAAGGTAAATCAGCATTCAAAATTCTTCAAGGTACTTCAGAGTACAACAAGGCACAGAGTAAAAATTGAACAAGGTATATCAAAGTACAAAGAGGTACGTAAGCACACAACAGGATAAATCATAGTACAAATAGGTACAAGGTACATCAAAGTATAAGAGTGTATTACATTTTGAATGCCGGAATTCATTAATTATTGATTTCTTAAAATCTGCTATGAAATATTACCACGATTATATGTACATAAATTAATTTTCTAATAGTGTTAATAGTAGGAATTTACAAAATATTTAAATTTTTCAGAATGTCTGGAGTACTTGTACAAATCTGTCTGCTCTATTATATTTTTTTTTACAAATCTGCCTTCTGTACCCACTTAAGTATGTTTATATGTGTTATTGTGTCAATTATAATTAAAATTATTTTGTTTTTAAACTTTTAATTAAAAATAATTTTACGTGAAGCTGAGTGAACCTAGCCCTAGCCTTTGGTAGTGCAGTGAGCCTAGCCATCGCCTGGGGTACTGCAGTGAGCTTAGCCCTAGCCTGGGGTACTGCAGTGAGCCTAGCCATAGCCTGGGGTACTACAGTGAGCCTAGCCATAGCCTGGGGTACTACAGTGAGCCTAGCCATAGCCTGGGGTACCGCAGTGAGCCTAGCTATAGCCTGGGGTACTGCAGTGAGCCTAGCCATAGCCTGGGGTACTGCAGTGAGCCTAGCCCTAGCCTGGGGTACTGCAATGAGCCTAGCCGTAGCCTGGGGTACTGCAGTAAGCCTAGCCCTAGCCTGTGGTACTGCGCTATATAAACCCACCTAATAATACTAATACTACTAATAATAATATAAACATACAATTTTTTTAAATTTTTCGCTTTCAATCCAATGTCATTCTGCAATGTCCGAAACTAAAGTCGGAAAAATGTGTTTTGTTCTTCTAGAATCCCCTCACATGTTCTCAGTTTTAAAGAATGTGCCGCCACCCGTCCATTTCTCTTCAAATTTGAACAAATAACAAACGTATTTCTCAATTAATTAATTTGATTAAGGTTACATATTAGAAAACTGTTAAGTAGGCTTGGGAAAAAATAAAGACAGTTTTTTTACCTGCTGTAACATGGCCAGGCAATCATCATCTGCATTCTGGCACTGAATGACCAAAGGCAGCTTCAGCTCCACGGCCATTTCCAGCTGGACTTTAAAAATGACTTTCTGAACATCTGGCCCTACCCCCACTGTGTAGTCCAGGCCGCAAGGACCTACGCCAACAACATGTTTGGTTGCCAGAGCCTGCTTCAGGCCGACCAGGTGCGGCTTCCGGAAACGGTTGGCGTGTTTTGGCGGGCATCCTAGGACGATCCAGATCCCTTCTTCCCGTAACACGGCTTTGAGCAGCTGGTCAGCTGGACCTGGAGTAAAAAGATACACTGGCATACTATACTAGCAACTTCTAGAATTACTCTATCGTCTTTTGGCACTATACTATCATCTTTTGGTACGTGACAATCATTGCCTTAAATTATACTAGTATCTCTTTGAACTATACTAATATCTATTGGAACTATACAAGCATCTCTTGGAACCATACTAGTATCTCCTAGAAATATGCTAGTATATCTTTGAACTACTCTAGCATCTCCTAGAGCTATGGAAGCATCTCCTAGAACTATACCAGCATCTCCTAGAACTATACTAGAATGTCGTAGAAATATTCTAGCATCCCCTATAGCTGTACCAGCATCTCCCAGAACTATACTAGAATATCGTAGAAATATTCTAGCATCCCATATAACTACACGAGCATCTCCTAGAACAGCGGTTCTCAATATGCGTGTCGCGACCCCTTTGGGAATCGAACGACCCTTTCACGGGGGTCGCCTAAGACAATCGGAAAACACATACCTTACCGATATGAAGTAGCAAGGAAAATAATTGTGGTTGGGAGTCTCTACAACATGAGGAAATATAATAAAAGGTCGCGGCATTAGAATGGTTGAGAACCCTGTCCTAGAACTATACTAGCTTCTCCAAGAAATATTCCACCATCTCCTAGAACTATTTTAGCATGTCCTTGATCTATACTAGCACTAGCATCTCCTGGAATTGCACTATCATCTTTTGATACTATACTATCATCTTTCGTTACTATTCTGGCACCTCCTATACTAGCAACTATTTCAATACTATTTATAGTCAATTTTGTTCCTAGGCTAGGTGTGTTCACTTAAGGTTTAAGCTCTACACACCTGAGTAAATATGAAGCTCAGTCGGGTCCCATCTGGTTTAACATCGCCATTGTTGAGCATTTCGTTTGTGACTTGTTAAACAGAGCTACAAAAAACACATTTCCTGTGTTAATTAAGTTGTCATAATGTTATGTTTACACTCACTTATACATTAAAGGGGGGAAAAAACTTACTTTGAGAGGAAAATGTTGTCGGGTTTGAAAAGACTGCAATGAATCCTTCGTAGTTATCGGGCAAGGACTGCAACTCTGCATTGAACTGTGTGTCGCGGTTCAGCCCCTCCACAAGGTCATCCACATTGCAGTGCGTGTCCACGAATCTGTACTTGTAGGTGAAACTCCGCCGAATGAAGTCTTTGGCCCACGGGGCCACCTTCTTCAGCTCCTCGGTCTGCTCCGCCTGAGACTTCACCTGCCTCGTGGGTTCGGTGGGGGACCCCCCCTCTTCCTCCCCGCTCTGTGTGTTGAGCCACTGGCTGACCTTATCGATGTCAGAACCTTTCTGCTGGGGGTCCGAGCACGCGAGGGGTTTACCTATGGGGTCAGAGCAAGGGAGGGGATGAATTTTCGGACTCGGGGTCTTGCTCTTAGCCGTGAAAATCCCCGTATCGCCGCTTTTGGTGGACATCTTTGGCACCGGGATAGCCGAGCCCCGACAGAGTCCAGGCAAAGACTCCTAAGTTCGGAAAGTTTTACTGGGAAACTTTCACCCCGAAAAAATTATAGAAATAGTGTTCGGATACAGGTCTATAGGTCTGTAGATATCCCTCTGGTAGCCACACTAGACTGTGCGTATCAGAAGTAACCCTGTAGCTTTATATTCCAAACAGATAGCGCAAACACACACACCCACAAATCCATCCACCTGTTATAGAACACGTAACTACATCAACACAAAGAACAACTTTCACCAAAGCCAAGTGTTTGGTCGGACAAGCTTGAACACCAATGAACATCAATCACGGCACGATTTTTGGACTAAACGTTTAACTACATGGGAGTGGTTGGTTGGGGAGGGGGGGGGTAAATAAACAGGAAGGTGAGGGGATGAGGGTGAAACCCTCAAAACAACAAACTCTGAATACTAGCGACCAAGACCACTCGGCTGCCCGATCGTGTGTCAAGTTTCAACCATCTGGCCGGACAATGACAACATGATGTGTTAACCTACATCGCCAATCTGGTGCACTTATCGTCAAGCCGGTCACTGGGTTGACCGGGAGATGACCACATGTTGGTCAAGAGTCTATTGTTTGGGCGTATCAAGTGATGTGGGGCCCCGCTGGTCAGTGTCGCTATGGGGGAGCGTTACGTCAGAGATGGTAACCCAATCGAACTTGTCATACCAGCTGGCAGACGCAGCTTCTTCTTGCGGTCATGTAAATCCACGCCGGCATTGTGTAAAGGCAAATCAAACGACTGCCTGGGGCGCCATGCGGGCATTTTTTGCAGGCAAATCAAACGACTGCCTGGGGCGCCGTGCGGGCATTTTTTACAGGCAAATCAAACGACTGCCTGGGGCGCCATTCGGGCATTTTTTACAGGCAAATCAAACGACTGTCTGGGGCGCCATGCGGGCATTTTTTACTGGCAAATCAAACGACTGCCTGGGGCGCCGTGCGGGCATATTTTACTGGCAAATCAGACGACTGCCTGGGGCGCCGTGCGGGCATATTTTACTGGCAAATCAAACGACTGCCTGGGGCGCCATGTGGGCATTTTTTACTGGCAAATCAGACGACTGCCTGGGGCGCTGTGCGGGCATTTTTTACTGGCAAATCAAACGACTGCCTGGGGCGCCGTGCGGGCATTTTTTGCAGGCAAATCAAACGACTGCCTGGGGCGCCATGCGGGCATTTTTTACTGGCAAATCAAACGACTGCCTGGGGCGCCATGCGGGCATTTTTTGCAGGCAAATCAAACGACTGCCTGAGGCGCCATGCGGGCATTTTTTACTGGCAAATCAAACGACTGCCTGGGGCGCCATGCGGGCATTTTTTGCAGGCAAATCAAACGACTGCCTGGGGTGCCGTGCGGGCATTTTTTACTGGCAAATCAGAAAACATTTGGAACATTCTTTTCATTAAAATCTTTATCCCCCCCTCCTCCCCCCCCCCTCTTTTTTTTCAAACTATTGTTCTAAGAGTCGGTTAGCGTAAAAAAAAATATCAAACGTTTTAATAAGGAAAAAAGACAAAGGAAAAACTTATTTAAAAAATAATTTATTCAGACCAATTGCTAACAGATAAAGATAATAGTAGCATATCATTTCTATGACAAGCATTATTATTCTAAGCAAATTCATAGTATCAACTTTAATTGATTTAAATGTTTCCTTGAGTGCATGCCATGATCATGTAATTAATGTAACTAAATCCACAAGCATCGTCCATTTAAATTATGTGGTCGTAGCAGATTCCAGTTCAATCTATGTATGTTTAGATAGTTGTATGGGGAGTCAATCTATGTATGTTTAGATAGCTGTTTGCGGAGTCATTCTATATATGATTAGTTATTTGTATAAGGAGTCATAATATATGATTAGTTAGTTGTATAAGGAGTCATTCTATATATGATTAGTTAGTTGTATAAGGAGTCATTCTATATATGATTAGTTAGTTGTATGGCAAGTTTTAATAAAATTACTTGACACGGTTTATATGCATACTTTAAAACAACGCCATTATAGTAACCGTCCATTTAATTATATATATATATATATGTTGCTAGCAATAGGTATCAATTTTGAGATCTCTAGCCATACGTGTGTGTTGAAATCTATAGCCATACGTGTGTGTTGAAATCTCTAGCCATACGTGTGTGTTGAAATTTCCAGCCATACGTGTGTGTTGAAATCTCTAGCCATACGTGTGTGTTGAAATCTCTAGCCATACGTGTGTGTTGAAAATCTCTAGCCATACGTGTGTGCTGAAATCTCTAGCCATACGTGTGTGTTAAAATCTCTAGCCATACGTGTGTGTTGAAATCTCTAGCCATACGTGTGTGTTGAAATCTCTAGCCATACGTGTGTGTTGAAATTTCCAGCCATACGTGTGTGTTGAAATCTCTAGCCATACGTGTGTGTTGAAAATCTCTAGCCATACGTGTGTGCTGAAATCTCTAGCCATACGTGTGTGTTAAAATCTCTAGCCATACGTGTTTGTTAAAATCTCTAGCCATACGTGTCAGTGTTGAAATATCTAGCCATACGTGTATTTTAAAATCTCAAGCCATACGTGTAATGTTGTAATCTCTAGCCATATGTGTCAATGTTGAACTATCTAGCCATACGTGTATTTTAAAATCTCAAGCCATACGTGTCAATGTTACAATCTCTAGCCATATGTGTCAATGTTGTAATCTATAGCCATACGTGTATGTTGAAATCTCAAGCCATACATAAGACTGTCTTTTTATAGATTCGTGTACTGACGTTTGTTATCCCCATGTTACGTCCTTAATCCTTAAATAAACTCACCCTGCTAAGACCACTATAGTAAACTCTCCCTCCTAACACCACTATAGTAAAATCACCTTCCTAAAACCACTATAGTAAACTCACCCTCCTAACACCACTATAGTAAACTCACCATCCTAACACCACTATAGTAAACTCACCCTCCTAACACCACTATAGTAAACTCACCATCCTGAGACCACTATAGTAAACTCATCATCCTAACACCTCTATAGTAATTCGAGAGTCACAAGATGGGCATTAATTTTACAGGAATTCAATTTTGACATTGTATATATCAAGGGAGAAGAAAACACTATTGCAGATTTTTTATCTCGACAATAGTGAGGGGAAAAATTGTTTCTGGGAGAGGTGAATGTAATCCCTGAGGTGGGGAAAGAAGAGAAGTCCTTTGTTGATACTTCTGTGATGTCAATGAGTCACTGGATGTTTTGCAAATATTACAAAAATGTATAAATTTAAAGAGAACGCTGCCAGTGTGGAGGAGGTGAGTTTTCAAGTCCATGAGTTGGGAGGTGAAGATTACGATTGTTTTGTATGTTGCAGATGATTAGATGCTTTAAAATCATTCTGTTATTGTAAGGATTTTCTTCGTTGATCTATTATAATCAGTAATTACCTAGATACGATATAAATAAACCATGATTTTTTGTTGCTGTTTATGCGCGTAAAATCTATGTAATTAGAAGGTAGAAGTATAAACCGATGTTACAAATCGTAAATTGCTTTTGCTATCTTTTTTGTCATTGCTGTGAAATGGTATTGCAATACCAATGCTCTGATGACTTAAAACATGATGGAATTTTTATGTAATTAGATTAATGATTGTAAACAGTATAAGACTAATAGGATTGCTTCTTTGAGATTGTTACTTGCTGTATGGTCCAACAGTGATTCCATACCCTTACTTTTCATTATGGAAGATTCTACTCGGGGAGTAGAATCTAGCGGAAAGGGGGGGGGGTATGTCAAGGGTATGAGAATCACTGTTGTTATGTGTAAATCATTGTTTTTATGTTTGATAGTAAAAAGATGTTTAGTTAGAGATTTTATGTGTAGCTGTATCGTTTGTGTGAGAGTGTTGTGACGTAATTGTGTCAGGGGAAATGACGCATTAGTTTTCGTTATTGTGATGGGAGGATTGATGGCGGATATACTGGATGAACTGTTTGGATTTGTCTATTGAGTAGTGTTTGGTTGGAGTCATTTGATTATCAAATGTTGAAATTATACATCAACCCTAGTTAATGGAGTAGTGTTAAATAAAATCCTATTTTGCTACACACCTGTTAACGTTGGTTGTGTTAGTAACTGCTGATATTGGCTATACTGTTCGTGGGATCAGGTGAGAGATTTGCCAGACAAGTAGACACGCATTGCCATGAGGGGATGATTACAACACAACAGATTGAACGGTTCGACAACTAGTTGTTTTTTTAATGTTAAATTGTGCTCAAAACCACAAGCTATTGTTTAATATTACTATATGTTCAAAACCACAAGTTGTTATTTAATATTACAATGTGTTCAAAATAACAAGTTATTGTTTAATATCATAATCTGTTTAAAACAGAACGTTGTTGTTTAAAATTACATTGTGTTCAAAGCCAAAAGTTGTTATTCAATATGTCAATGTGTTCAAAGCAACCAGTTGCTGTTTAATATTACAATGTGTTCAAAACCACAAGTTGTTGTTTTAATGTGTCAATGTGTTCAAAAGCAGTAGTTGTTGTTTAAAATTACACTGTTCAAAACCACTAATAGTTGTTTAATGTTATTATGTGTTCAAAACCACAAGTTATTCTTTAATATTATAATCTGTTCAAAACCGAACGTTGTGGTTAAAATTACGCTTTGTTAAAAACCACAAAATTGTGTTTAATATTTCACTCTGCTCAAAACTACAAGTTGTTGTTGATATTCCACTGTCTTCAAACCTACAATTTGTTGTTTTATAATACATTATGTTCATACATGACATTAACTTCATAAACGACATTATATCAATAAAAAGACATTGTATCCATATACGACATCATATTCATGAATCGCACACAATAAAACACCATCGAAAACGCTAGATCATGGGTCACTCAACTCCGGCCCGGGGGCCGTTTTTGGTCCGTGACGTCAGTTCATCCGGCCCACGGACGGTACTTGAATTTGCTTGATGAAACGTTTGGAACATAAGACGTTGGGATACACTGTAAATTTAAATATCGCTGAAAAATACTGGGAGATCTTCACACGTGCTGAGACTCCCTAGATGCTATGCGACTTGAATTTACCATTTTCAATGTTCAATGATGATATCTAAAATCATACAATATCGTCTCAAAATCGTTCAATGCATATCTTAAGAGTAAAAATAAATATATTTACAGTATATATATATAATGAATACAATAATTACTCTGATCCCAGTGCCTTGTGGGATCGAGTTACGCTGGCGTCAACAAGTTAACTTCTAAAAGTAGATAACCGACAAATTATATTGCTATTATACATAATCATATTTCTCATCTGAGATGACTTTGTTTTGAAAACGTGTATTTGCTACAGATATTAATTTGTACTGACTGGACGTACAGGACAAATAATCAGAGTCTATCACTGGTAAAAAATAAGTTAATAGTAAAACTTAGCGTTGTTCAAAATTGATAACAGATCAGCATAATTAAACAATAAGGATAATAAACAATTAATGACATCCTTTAATAAACCAACCAGGAAAAGCTGTTTGAAAAAGATAAGAATCAATATCCATTAAGCCTATTCCTGCTAATATAGGCCTATATAAGAATAAGATATGCTGACGTAACGACAAAAGAACCGAAAAGTTTTAAATATGTTCGGATTGTTAAAAACAATCATAGTTATTTCTTCTTCTTCTTCTATATCTTAAGGGCCCACGATCAATTTATTGATCATTTTGGCTCCTATGCATGTAGATGGGATTTGCAATGTTTCTGTTACTGGTGGTGATGAGGAAATTATGCACTAGGGGTTTGAAGGCTTGAGGCAATAGACACAAATGTGTCTAGTGTTGTCGCCTCAACCGTTCCTTTTGAAAGATGGTTCCAGTCCCTGATTGTCTTGGGCAGGAATGAGCAGCTCCTATACTGGCTTCTTGCTGGTATGAGCCTGAATTGCCTGTCATGGCCTCGTCGCTGTCTATGGGGGAGAGGGACGAGTTTCTGTTTAATACTGGAACAGTGGACCAGCCCATTATTTATCTTGTACATCATGGAGAGCCTGGATTGTCGTCGTCGTTTCTCCAATGGTGACCAGCCTAGTGTCTCTAGCATGCTTCCAACACTAGAGGTATTCCTGTAGCGGTTTACAAAACGTGCTGCTCGTCGCTGGACCGCCTCCAACCTGTCAATGCTCTTCTGGGTAAATGGGTCCCAGACTGAAGATGCATAATCTAATTGATTTCTAGATAGCGCGCAAAATATAATTACCGATAACTACGTTCAGTGATTTAAAAAATAATATAAAAATAACGCAACCACGTTTGGTGCGTAATACTTCCATTTCTTTTCGGAAAATAAAATCGTCTCAATTTATGTAATAAATATTGGGGTTATAAGTGGTTGGGACATTAGAATATTAATATAGTACATGGGCGTGAAATAAAAAGTGTGCAGTGACGTATCATTGGCGGGGGAGGGGGGGGGGGTATTGAAAATTGGGATTACTAAATGTGCGTTATTTGAGCTCATGTTTTGTCAAGTAACTCTAGAGATGTAACACAGTGCAGTATAAAAAATTATTCTTCCCACACACACTAATTGCTTGGAACCACCTGGAAAATGCCGGTGTGGACTCAACATCGATCGAAAGCTTTAAGGCTACCCTGGCATCTGCTAGGAGCAACATCGCTTCTCCAACCGTTGCCCAGATGCCAGAATACGGATGCAGCAATGAACACTACCAGAGAGAACCAGTGGGAAGTTCACGAAATTGCTATCGGCACTATCGCCAGTGTTTGGCGAGCTATGAATTATTATTTTTTAAATATCACTTCTACTTCCGCATTTCCAATAACAATCAATCATATTGGAATATTTTTAATGATCTTCTATTCTAATTTGTGTCACTATACTATAAAAATGACACATTTACATTTCCAGACGACCTAAAATTAATTTTTTTCAAGTCTTTTTTTTTTATTCTGTAGAAATTGTGGTGTTCTGCAAATAAGTCATAACACATTATAATATAAAAATAGTCCATAGTCCATTTATATGTATTCTTCTGCTTATTCATGGAAATCACGGTCATGATGCAAAGCCATAAATCATGTATTTGAATTTACTTCATTATTAGTCCTTTGTAAGAAATAAAATGTACGCTATTTTATATGATTTTAAAATAAAAACCGATCGTATAAATACACTGCTCATTCGATTTCATTGTGATCTCCCTTGTGTAATGTTGCCCTATCAACGCTAAGGCGTTCTTCCTGTTCCAACCTGCAAAATCTTATGTTAAGAATTTCGTCCTAAGCATTCGGGATTTAAAACGGAGTAAAATCGGACTGTGCGTTGAAAAAAATCTTTTTTCAATGTTCACCTACTTACTTTACATGGAAAAATAGTTTTGAACAAGATAAAAAAACTATGATCGATATTTAAATTTAATTATTAATATTAGTAGTGAGTTAACGATAAAAGATTAAGAATATAAATATAGTCATAGTAGTATAGAGATGGTATAAGTGAAATCTTAACTTAACCATATAGCCTATATATTATATATAGAGAGATTAAGTAAGCAATTTCATGCTCATTGCTCAATCATACTTGTAGTAGTGATTAATACTCGATGATTAATACAGTTTTAGCTGAAAATCCAAGGCCAAGGCTAATTTTGGGTTAGCGGTAAACCGCAACCGGTCAAGTGTTCCTACTGCAAATAGGTCATGGAGATTTCCCCAGGTCAACTTCCATCTGTATCTTAATGCCCTTCCCCAGAAGATTTTTTTTCTTATTTTTGAATTCAAAGTAGGGAAAGGGGTTATGATAAAATTGTAATTATCCATTGTCAGATTTATTTTATGATCAAGTAAGTAATGCTCAGTGATGAACAGGAAAGTATTTAGACACATCATTTAGGTCCAACAGTTGGACTATTCATTTAAAGTCTAGCGTTGGGATTCCCCAAAGTGATGTCACTGGTCTTAGGGTGAGATGACCATACTGCTAAACCAAAATTTACGCTGGTTGGCCACCTTCTGCTGTTTGGAAGAAGCCTTTTTTTTAATAAAAAAATATTTAATTTTTAGAAATCTTTAATATTAATGTGTAGTACATTTAAAATGTCAATTTAATATATACAACATTTACAATATCATCCATGTGATAAGTGACATCACACCATTTTTTTCCTAATCTCCCCCCTCCCTGAAATTCATCTCAAATTTAACTCAAAATTTAAACACTCATAATACATGTCACAAATGTGTGACCTACTTAAGTAAAAAAAAAAGTTATTAATATGAGTATTTGGACATTTTATTGATTATTAGCTTTTAATTATCAAATCTATATTTTAAACTAGTGCTTTATTCTCAACAAAATAATTTTAATCTTCCATCCAAGAATGTCTCTATAAGTCAATAACATAACCCTTTTTTTTAGGTTAAGTCAGCTATTAGACAATAATTTCTTTTTTCATTAGCTTCTGACAAGATAATAATTGTTTTTGGCTAAGTTAATCTTAAAATTTCTCATTTGAAAAATAACAGCATAACATCATACCTTAATCATTCTGAGGAACTCATTAATAAATTTCCAAAGGGCCGAAAAAAAATATATTTATGGCCGATAAAATTTCGGAACCATTTGGAGCACAGACTCCAGGTGTACATGAATGGAGACAGTCTCTTAGATCTCCAAGTCCTGCTGGGTACCCAAGGTCTAGTCGCAGCATGGATGGAGTCTCAAAAAGCTTAAGGTCAAGGACACCATCACCTAGACGATCAAGAGACAGGTTCCCAAGACAGTCAAGGAGCCCATCCCCAAATGCAACCTCTAAAGGTATTAAAATATTGCGTTAGTTTTAGCATCAGTTAAACATTAATCGCAGGTTGATTTTTTTGAAACATTTTAAAAACTTTGCGTTAATCCAGGTTGTTTTGTCTATTATGTTTGTGGAGTATTTTCAGGAAAGATTTGGTGAGGCAGGCCAAATCCTTACTTGGGCTGTAGTGCCACCAGGATAGATGAATAGAGTATTGTTAACAAAAAAATTATCAGAATAAACTATTTTTAGCACAATGGGAGAGTATTTGTACATGACCTACAAACTTGTCTATTTATATTCAATATTTCTTTTCTTTCTAGAAAAAAGAAGCAATTTCTGCCTTCAGATTTTCCAATGGAATATAATTAATATCCTTACATTTTTTCTCAAATTTTTCAATTAAAAAAAAATATTATAATGTAAAATGGTTTAATAATTACTAAGCATTGCATGATAGCATTAGTATTCTAGCTTATTATCAATAACATGATTTTATGAGTATATTAATTTATGATTTACACTCAAGAAAGTTGGCAAGTATCAAACATGCATTACGTGAAACATTCATCATTAAACTAGTAGATCTTAATTATTTATTTATTAAATTTAATTTGGCATCTGCTGCTCAGTCAGCTCTGTTGGACAAGAAAATCTATTTGAAATATTCTATCCACTCCTTTACAAAGGGTTTCAAAGCTCAACTACTTTATAAAAAGGTGTTTGAAATCAAAATGGCTCTTTAGTAAAAGTTGTTGCAAATTTCTCTGACTCCCGATTAAGTGATGATATAATCTGAAAACAAGTTAGAACTCTGATGTCTTCAATATCTGCAGCTTTTCTTGTCCTTGACTCAGAAATTTATTGGTGTATACTGTCTGGCCCTGGTCTTAAGTTCTCACAACTGTCAACACATGCCTATGATATTATTGTTTTGAACTACTTTAAACTGTCAACAGATGTTTCAAAGAGGCATTCCATGAAACGAACAAATATCTTGAACGGACTGAGGAAAAGTACTGGCAGTAGCCTGACTGCCGACCTCAGTTTGAGCAGGTAAAGTACTAGCAGTCGCTGGACACCTGACCTTTTCTTAAGCAGATCAGAAGAGTAAGGAGGTAGAAACTGGTGGCAAAAATTAATAACTTGGATATGAGAATCAAGTTATAACTTGTTTTCCCCAAAATGGAGATTTGAATAATTAAAAAAGAGCAAAACATTTTTCATTAATAAGTTATTGTCTATGTTTAATTAATAAGTTATTGTCTATGTTAAATTATTAAGTTATTGTCTATGTTAAATTATTAAGTTATTGTCTATGTTAAATTAATAAGTTATTGTCTATGTTTAATTAATAAGTTATTGTCTGTTTAATTAATAAGTTATTGTCTATGTTTAGTTAATAAGTTATTGTCTATGTTTAATCAATAAGTTATGGCTGTAAGAGTAGACACCTTAGGTCAGAATAAGCAATAAAATATTAGTGGGTCACACAGGAGAAACATAAAAATAATGGGGTCATGAAAGAAATCAGTTCGGGGATCACTGCTCTAGTTACTGATAAAGAAATCCTCAATCTGGAGACAATTCCACATTTCATTTCAAGAATATGGGGTGAGTTGACCTATGTCCAGGAGTGTCACTGCAGGTCTATGAAACTGATATTTGAAAACTCAAATTGTTTTCTTATGCTTTCTGTGTAGCTGGACTTGACCACATACAGATGACTTGAACACATATATGTAAATGACTTAACGACACACAGAATGACTTAAGCACATACATGTAGAATGACTTAACCTTATACAGTTAGATTGACTTGACCACATACTGTTTTGGATGACTTGACCACAAACATGTTAAATGACTTGACCATATACAGTTTAAATTACTTGACCCCAAAATAATTAGTATGAAAATAGACGGCCCAATAATTAGTATGAAAGTAGATGGCCCAATAATTAGTATAAAAATAGACGGCCCAATATATCTTACATTAGACTAATCTGATTTATGATTACAGTAAGCTGAACAAGTCAGTGGATCAGTTGGCAAATATCGAAGCTGAGTACATCAAGAATCTGCAGCAGCAAATCTATTTCCTGGAACTGGAAGCTAATTACCTGTATCCTTTTAGCACACCTGTCTAGTTCACTACATGTGTCCTTTAGCAAACCTGTCTAGTTCTTTACCTGTATCGTCTAGTACACCTGTCCCTAGCACACCTGTCTTAGCACACCTGTCTTTAGCACATATGTCTTTAGCACACCTGTCTTTAGCACACCTGTCTTTAGCACACCTGTCTTTAGCACACCTGTCTAGTTTAACCTGTAGCCTAAGCTCAATAGTTATTTATTTCAAGCATGATTTTCTTAACTCAGCTGTAGTCGAGAGCAGGCAAGAAAAGCAACAGAAATGCACCCACAGATGACGCAGGAGGCAGAGAAAATGCTGGCAAAACTCAGGGTAAGCTTTTCAGTTGATTCTATATTCCAATGGTTATGTGGATAGTCTGAATGTTCATTTGATTCTATATTCCAATGGTTATGTGGATAGGCTGAATCTTCAGTTGATTCTATATTCCAATGGTGATGTGGATAGTCTGAATGTTCAGTTGATTCTATTTTTCAATGGTTATGGGTAGGCTGAATGTTGAAATAGAGGAAACTCACATCATGCCTCACCATGTCAATCAACTTAAAATAATTCATTGAAATACATCAATTGTTTGGGTTTTTTTAAAGTTGAGATTTTGCCTTAAACTCAGGGGATTGCATGAAAAGTTCATTATTTATTTAATAGAGAGGTGTAGATATATATATATATATATATATATATATATATATATAAATATATATATGTTTTAAAAAATATGAACCTTTGTGTGACAGGAGATGCAGAATGAGATAGATAACTTAAACATAGAGCTACAGAGGAAAGATTCCCGCATAGGCATCCATACCACAGAGAAAATCGCTCTTCCTATATAAAAATTTATTATTTATTTAATAGAGAGATGTATATATATATATATATATATATATATATATATATATATAAATATATATATGTTTTAAAAAATATGAACCTTTGTGTGACAGGAGATGCAGAATGAGATAGATAACTTAAACATGGAGCTACAGAGGAAAGATTCCAGCTTAGGCATCCATACCTCAGAGAAAGAAAAACTACAGGAGATACTTCAGATAGAGAAAGGTAAGATAACAGTGACAAGTTGCTTCAGGTACATAATAGTAAGGTTACCTGATGCACTTGAGGTAGAGAAAAGTAAGATTACCTGATGGACTTCTGATAGAGAAAAGTAAGATTACCTGAGCCAGATTGGTTTAAAAAAGGTAAGATTACCTGAGCTATTTCCAATAGAGAAGGGTAAGGTTACAGGAGCTAGGGATACAGTGTTTCAAGTGGTACACTGAGATGTTTTACAAAGCTAAACAACTTACCAAACATTCTTACGGTGGTACATGACTTATTATGTAAGTCAGTGGTTGGCAACCTAAGGTATGTGTCATGGCAAGCATAGTCATTTTCATTGGCAATTTTCACTGGCAATTTTCACTGGCCATTTTCATAGGCCGTTTTCATTGGCCGTCTTTATTGGCCGTTTTCATTGGCTGTTTTCATTGGCATGCAGGAGACAAAAAAAAAGTATTATAAATGACTAAAAAACATCTTAAGTCTTAAACGGCAGACTTTTAAGTTCTTTGCACACTATAGTCTTGTTTTGACAAACGTTGGCTGACCCCTGGATATGTGGTACAAAATAACAAATGTGTGAGAACACCTGCCCTGCATCTTTAGTGAGATATTCTTTTGTCAGTATTGCAACTGGGGTTTGTCTTCTGGCAGGGTTGAGGCCAATAATGATTGTACATGATCTTATTTCTGTGCAGAAAGCCGACAGAGAGAGAAACGACTGCTGACAGATGAGTTGGTTACCATGAAGCAAGACAAGGACAGGTTACAGCGAGAGCTTGCCCGCAAGGATGAACTTCTGCTGGAAGCAAGAACTGAACTGGACAACAATGCCATGATTTTTAAAAATTATGAAACCAAAATAGCCACACTTAAAGCTCAGGTAGGTCAATTTTACAATTAAAACTCAAATCTCAGGTAGGTCAGATCATTTGACACAATGACCACTTGACCCTATGACCATTTGACACAATGACCGCTTGACACAACAAACACTTGACCAGATGATCAATTGACACAATCACTGCTTGACCCTATGACCATTTGGCACAATGACCACTTGACCAGATGATCATTTGACACAATGACCATTTGACTCTTTTACCATTTGACCGACAATAATATCTGCAGAAGCAGTACTGAGCATGAACCACTTTTTTTTATCAGATGATCATTTGTCATAATGGCCACTTGTCCCTATGACCCAATGACCATTTGACACAATGACCACTTGACCAGATGATCAATTGACTCAATGACTGCTTGACCCTATGACCATTAGACACAATGACCACTTGACCTATGATGAGTTGAAGCATTGACCACTTAAAAAATGACCAGTTAAAAAAATTGATCAGTTGACGTCATGACCACTTCATCCACAGCTGGAACAGAGGATAGAGCAGCACAACCTCACCCAACTTGCATTAGAAGAAAAACGGGCTGCGCTGCTGACCACTGAGACACAGCTTCGAGAAACTGAAGAGAGATACTTTTCAAGCACTGTCACTATTAAAGATAAACTAACACAAGATTTGAGGGTAGGTAATTTAAGGTAAACTGACACAGGATTTGAGGGTAGGTAATTTAAGATAAACTGACACAAGATTTGAGAGTAGATAATTTAAGATAAACTGACACAGGATTTGAGAGTAGGAAATTTAAGATAAACTGACACAAGATTTGAGAGTAGGAAATTTAAAATAGACTAACACAAGATTTGAGGGTAGGAAATTTAAGATAGACTAACACAAGATTTGAGGGTAGGTAATTTAAGATAAACTGACACAAGATTTGAGAGTAGATTATTTATGATAAACTGACACAGGATTTGAGAGTAGGAAATTTAAGATAAACTGACACAAGATTTGAGAGTAGGAAATTTAAAATAGACTAACACAAGATTTGAGGGTAGGTAATTTAAGATAAACTAACACAAGATTTATGGGTAAGGTAATTTAAGATAAACTGACACAGGATTTGAGAGTAGGTAATTTAAGATAAACTAACACAAGATTTATGGGTAAGGTAATTTAAGATAAACTAACACAAGATTTGAGAGTAGGAAATTTAAGATAAACTGACACAGGATTTGAGAGTAGGAAATTTAAGATAAACTGACACAAGATTTGAGAGTAGGAAATTTAAAATAGACTAACACAAGATTTGAGGGTAGGTAATTTAAGATAAATTAACACAAGATTTATGGGTAAGGTAATTTAAGATAAACTGACACAGGATTGGAGAGTAGGTAATTTAAGATAAACTAACACAAGATTTATGGGTAAGGTAATTTAAGATAAATTAACACAAGATTTGAGAGTAGGAAATTTAAGATAAACTGACACAGGATTTGAGAGTAGGAAATTTAAGATAAACTGACACAAGATTTGAGGGTAGGTAATTTAAATTGCAAAATTACTCTTATGGGAAGTCGAGTGAATGGATAACTGTAACCTGGAAACTGTCTCATCGCAGCCCTCCTCTAATAAATTGTTATGTTCTGACATTGTTATGTTCTGTCATTTTTATGTTCTGTCATTGTTATGTTCTATTATTTTTATGTTCTGTAATTTTTTATGTTCTGTCATTGTTATGTTCTGTCTCATCCCAGCCCTCCTCTAATAAATTGTTATGTTCTGTCATTGTTATGTTCTGTCATTGTTCTGTTCTGCCTCTCCCAGGATGAGATAAGGATGCTGCACCAAAAACTTAAGGAAGCAGAGCACAGTGTTGAAAAGGACCGGTTCCTGCGAGACAAGGTCTCAGATGAGATGACCAGCCTGGTCAAGGAAAACTCATCCCTCAATCAGAAAGTTATGGAGCTGACCAGGCAGTTAGACAGGGTTAGTAATTTAGTTATGGAACTGAATAGGCAGCTAGAGAGGGTTAGTAATTTAGTTATGGAACTGACCAGGCAGTTAGCGAGGGCTAGTAATTTAGTTATGGAACTGACCAGGCAGTTTGAGACAATCTGGCATCTTTTATGACATCAATTACTCATGACATCAATTTCTTATGACATCAGCTTCTCATGACATCAACTTCTCATTACATCGATTTTCCTTGACATCAGTTTCTCATAACATCAGTTTGTCATGACATCAGTTTGTCATGACATCAGTTTGTCATGACTACTCCAAATGTGTTGAATTTCTCTACGGAGTGAATAAAATAAGTTTAAAAGTAAAACTGTCACATTCCATCTCAAGGAAAGAGAACTAAGAGAGTCAACAGACCAGCGTCACTTACAAAGCATCGGAGAGATGGTGACCTTGAAGGACAAATTGCATGAGATCGACAGACTCAGAGATGAACTGAGACAAGAGAAGGAGAGATCGAGACAGTACCTTGATCAGGTGGGCAAAAAGTACCTTGATCATGTGAGCAAAAAGTACCTTGATCATGTGGGTAGAAATTACCTTAATCAGCTGTGTAACAAGTAACTTGATCAGCTGGGTAACAAGTAACTTGATTAGTATAACTGAAGTACAGTGATTCCTCACCTATTACTGGCTCACTTTTTGTGGTGTCACTCTATCACAAATTGTTGTACTTGTATAAATCTAATCCTTCATTTTTGCTACATTCTACAGGATTTTTGTAGTGTGTATAATATTTTAAATATTTTACATATTTATTATTTTAATTATTTTTGTGGTAAAATTAGCCTTTTCTAGCCTAAAAATTGAAAAAAATGTAATAAAATATATAAAATATTAATTAAAACATATTAAAAGAATATTAAATCGAAATGCAATAGGTTTTTAAAAAAAGGTCTCTTCTTCACAAATTTTTGTCCATCGTGGGGTTCCGAAACCTAACCCCTGCAAAAAATGGGGGACCACTGTACTTTGTTAAGCGAATGAATAAAATATAAAAAGGTTATCTAGATTTTGTAAAGCCTTCAATGGTCAATAGGCTTCATTTCTATCTGTTTTGGGAAAACTGTGATGGCTAATTTGTTTTATATCCAATGAGAAGTCAACTTATATCATTCACTGTGATGGCTAATTTGTTTTATATCCAATGAGAAGTCAACTTATATCATCCAACTGTGATGGCTAATTTGTTTTATATCCAATGAGAAGTCAACTTATATCATCCAACTGTGATGGCTAATTTGTTTTATATCCAATGAGAAGTCAACTTATATCATCCAACTGTGATAGCGAATTTGTTTTAAATCCAATGTGAAGTCAACTTATATCATCCAACTTTGTGGAATGATTCAAATCCACTCAGCTGTTTTGTCTAGGTTGAGGTAACCCTTTATGAATTCAACCCTCTGCCTCTTGATGTGGATGTGCCATCATAGGGTCCCTCCTCAAAAAAGCTTTGAAATTTAAAAGCTGTCAATAACCCAGTTCTAAAAGCGTTATTATAAGTTTATTTACTAACTATATATATCCCACCGAACAATGGCGGCCACAACTTCCCATCTACTCAAGTTACTTGACAAAACATGCATTCAGGTAACGCACTTTATAATATTCCCAATTTGTTTTAATCCCATCCTCCCCCCAGTACACTCCCTTCCCTGAACTATATTAATATACTAATGTCTCACCCCCTTTTACACTGCACATGAATTACATCAAATTTTGCCATCAAACAAAAGAAAATTTTACACACCAAACACATTTGGGGTATTTTTAGGAATTTTATTTAGGAATTTATTTATTGAAATCAGCACCATCTGGTGGTGTTAGTGATATTGTTACATGGAGAATTATGTATTTATATGAATTGATTCATTATCTGTTGTTTTTTTTTAATCTCTAAAAGCTGACCAATGAGCAGACAACTCACAAAAGGACAGACTTACAAGTAAACACAATGAGATCGAGACTGACAGAAAGTGAAGGGATGCACAGCGTGATTGACTCGGAAAATACACAGCTAAGAAAGGACAAGATTTTACTGGTTGATCATGTTGCAGAGCTACAGAAAAAGGTCATCATCCCAAATATTTTCATAATCTCAAAAAGTCTCATCATTAATTTCTTTTTATCATCCCCAATCTTCTCATCATCCCCAATCTTCTCATCATCCCCAATCTTCTCATCATCCCCAAGCTTCTCATCATGCACCAAACTTCTCATCATCCCCAATCTTCTCATCATCCCCAATCTTCTCATCATCCCCAATCTTCTCATCATGCACCAAACTTCTCATCATCCCCAATCTTCTAATCATCCTCAATATTCTCATCATCCCCAATCTTCTCATCATGCACCAAACTTCTCATCATCCCCAACCTTCTCATCATCCCCAATCTTCTCATCATCCCCAATCTTCTCATCATCCCCAATCTTCTCATCATCCCCAATCTTCTCATCATCCCCAATCTTCTCATCGTCCCCAATCTTCTCATTGTCCCCAATCTTCTCATTATCCCCAATCTTCTCATCATCCCCAATCTTCTCATCATCCCCAATCTTCTCATCATCACAAATCTATCTTTTCATGATCCCAAATATTCTCATAAAATTAAATGTTTAAAATATTTTTTTTTTTGCTATGTAAAATATAATATTTAAATTGTTCTTTAAATGTCATAATAAAATAGCCTTTGTTTATTGCACAGCTGGATGATAAGGACAGAGAGATCCTTACTCTGAGGTCCAGTGTAGATGATCTTGAGACTCGGTTCAGGAATCTAGGGCTCCAAAAGAGCATGGAGTTGGCACAGCAAAGCCAGCGGTGGGAGGAGTTCTCACGCCTGGCCGACAGCATGAAGACGCTGTCCAAAACAATGATGACGCAGACATCTCTAGGCTCTACCCAATCACCTAGGTCAAGGCCACAACAATATTAACTCTATCTAGATTCTACCCAAACACCTAGGTCAATGCCACAACAATATTAACTCTATCTGTATTATTTACCAAAGAAATATTTTTTCACATGTACAAACTCATGAATTGTTTTAACCAACTGGTCTCTTGAACTGCCAAAACACACAAAAATGGAAAGTTGCTTAAGTAAGTCATTAGAGCTTAATTTATAACAATAAATTTTGAGTTGTAATATTTTAAGATTGACAATCTTGTTATTATTTATTTGTATGCATTACAGCAAGGAACACATAAGAAGAAGACAACAAAAAAAAAGGGGGGGGGGGTATAAAAAAAACAAAAATACTTAAAAATTGTTTTTTTCTTTAATTTAAATGTATTTGCAAAATAAATCTGTTGAAATTGAAAATTACAAGCTACAAACTAACGGTGCTTCAAAATTATTGTTTTACTTTGAGTTTGTTCCATGTAATAAGTATTTCTGTATTTTATTAAGCTATTGCTTAGTTACAATTAGTAAATGTAAGCTAAATTTTTATTTATATCTAGATGTACTTTTCATAACTTAATGTTCTTGTATACCTAGGTTATCATTACTTTACATTGTCCTAGTACTAGAAGTCCAATGTCTTTTAAATCATAGGCAATTAGATTTTGTTATAACTATTTTAATTTATTATGTACATTTTTGGATTAGAGATTAATCAGAGTATAGTTAAGATTATTTGTATGATTTTTACATCTGCATATTGATAGTATGAAGCCAATATAATAGTGAAAATAAATGAACTAAAATCTGGCATCTAATGATTATGCCCTTGCCAGGTAATGAAATTTAATTTGGAGGATAATAGTTACTTTATTCCAATGAAATGAATAAATATTTAATATTTGAATTCATATTTGGCAGGAAATTAATTAACTTCACAAGTTGTTCAGTAGAGCAGTGTAAACTTACAAATTGCTTTTAATAGTAGCAGTTAAAGTGGAACACTGACATCAAAATTACATTTTAGAGCATCAACATGCATATAGGTAGTCAAACCCTTACACATGATGTAAGTGCCATGGCTGTATGTAGAAGCAATGTCATAGCTGTTTGTGCATTAAAATTATTATTGCAGGTCAAGTATTGAATTCCTCGAAGAAATCTGTTTCAAAAAAAATTATTTTAACATTTTTTTTTGCAGTCTAGAACTGAGCTGAAAAATATGTTCAAATTAAATCTGAACTTCTTTGACCTTTTAATTCCAACATTATTTTCCATTATTTTGTATTTTCTTTTGATCATGTCAAAACAATTAGGTATTAAGTTGTTGTTTTTTTTTACTGATAAATATCTTGACCATCATTGACCATCATTGACCATCATTGACCATCATTGACCATCAGTCTCATTGAGATGATCACTAAATGGTAGTTTTCTTTCCTGATCATAGGGAATCATGTTCTTCCAGACACACCTTCACCTCCTAGAGCTTTCTGAAGGAAGCAATCATTTAACCTGTCTAAACAAAACAATGTTCAATAATTTAAGTTCTTTTCAAGTAAAGAGTCAACCATTCAGCTTAAGTCTCAAGTTTATTCATTTAGGTTTCTAATTGCTGTCTTTGTATTTAGGTTTCTAATTGCTGTCTTTGTATTTAGGTTTCTAATTGCTGTCTTTGTACTTAGGTTTATAATTGCTGTCTTTGTATTTGGGATTCTCATTGCTGACTTTGTATAAAGTATGCTAATAGCTTTCTGTGTGATACTTATCTTTTCAAAATTACAACTCACACTCAAGAACTCAACAGTTAGTCATACCGAACAATTAGTCCATGAAAGTCTTGCTAAGGTCTAATTTTAAGGAACAACTAAAAACTCAAACAAGGATTTTCAAGACTGAAACAAATATGTAGGATGAAGGAAAAAAAAAAAACTCCATTTATTTGCATGACTAAAAGTATCTTATCTTATCTTATTGATATGGAAAATTATTCAATGAAACTAAAATATATTTTAGGGTTCTGCCATTTTTCAAACATGAGACAGACAGCATTTGTATTTTTTAAAATGCAATTTACAATATTCAGATCCCCTTTCTTCACTCTTTTGTTTTTTACAAATCATGTAATGGTTCCATAAAGTTTTAGAATTATCACATTGAAATTTAGAATAACAAATTGAAAAAGAATTGGAAATGTTAAAATAAAATTATTTAAATAACTGTATTATAACAGTGACTTTAAATCTAGTAAAATTGAATGCTTTTATTACAGTATTAACACAACAATGTATTTCAATCATCAAGGCACATAGTACAGTCTTAACTCATCACTGTATTTAAATCAAGTTGAAACACTTAATGGATAATTGTTTATAGAAAATTTAGTCTTTTCCTTTTCACTTGCCCACAAGAATAATCATACATATCTATTTTAGTTTCTAATAACCCATCAATTTTATGTAGTCATTTTAAAATATTAGAAATTTTGTAGGATTACATTGCCAGTCAATTATATATATATATATTTAATAAGCGTTATACTCAGGCCCATATATATTTAGATGTGTTAACATTTGATTCATTTACAAGACATTCTCAGCATCTGTGATACCAAAGTGAAACGTTATTTTATAATTATTGACATGAACTTAATAAAATTATTATTATACACTTGCATCTAGTATTGTAATTTTTTTCTGATTTTTGTTAGAACTGTGTGACAGAATCTTTAGTTGGTTCAAAAGATGGGGAAATAAAATATTTATACAGTTACCTTTTATTTTGCTCTGACCCCAATAAAGATTGTGTGATTTCAGATCAGGTTCATTAACCTAAAACCTGCCTTTTGATCTTTCTCAAGAGTAACTACCCTTTTCAGCAAGATAAACAGAATACACATGTACGAGGTGGCTGCAGCACCTCAGATTGTCATATGGTGGCAGCACCTCAGAGTGTCATATGGTGGCAGCACCTCAGAGTGTCATATGGTGGCAACACCTCAGAGTGTCATAAGTTGGCTGCACCTCAGAGTGTCATATGGGGCAGCACCTCAGATTGTCATATGGTGGCTGCACCTCATAGTGTCATATGGTGGCAGCACCTCAGAGTGTCATATGGTGGCAGCACCTCAGAGTGTCATAAGTTGGCAGCACCTCAGAGTGTCATATGGTGGCTGTACCTCAGAGTGTCATATGGTGGCTGCACATCAGAGTGTCATATGGTGACAGACGCTCAGAGAATCATATGATGGCAGCAGCTCAGATTGTCATACAGTAGCTGCACTCCAATCGTGCTGTCAGAACTGGATATTATTTTACAATATGTGGGTTTTTTGAGGTTTTAATTTTAATCATTTGTATTAAATAAAGAAATATTTTAAAAATGTATCCATGAAAAACTTGATCACTTTCAGTGGTGTAATGTAAGCATGAATGACTTGATCACTTTCAGTGGTGTAACGTAAGCATGAAAGACTTGATCACTTTCAGTGGTATAATGTAAGTGGTGTAATGTAAGCATGAATGACTTGATCACTTTCAGTGGCGTAATGTAAGCATGAAAGACTTGATCACTTTCAGTGGCGTAGGGTTGGGGATTGGGGGGGGGGGTGGGTGGCGGAACACTGGTTTACTTTTTATTCAGGGGGGGAATTTTCTACCAATGGCATTTTTTTTTCGTGTATAATGTAAGTGGTGTAATGTAAGCATGAATGACTTGATCACTTTCAGTGGCGTAATGTAAGCATGAAAGACTTGATCACTTTCAGTGGCGTAGGGTTGGGGATTGGGGGGGGGTGGGTGGCGGAACACTTGTTTACTTTTTATTCAGGGGCGGAATTTTCTACCAATGGCATTTTTTTTTCGTGGCAGGGAGCCGGCAAATATCTTGGCCAGTCCCGGGCGGCATTAATCTTAGCCACGCCCCTGGTCCTATTTCTCAAATTTATCTGCAGTCAATATACTTCCCTACCATTACTCTCTTAGTAGATGCTATTTAATTATTTTGTATAGATTAGATTTATTAATTTTTTTGTAACGATAATCAGAGGTTTTTTTATGCTCAAGATAAAAGAGTCTACAACTGGGAATACATTATAAAGATTCAAACTCTTCTTCCTGGCTCCTTAGATTTTTGAACATATAAAACCATCTTCTAAAATCTTTGTGAATGAATTGCCTAACTTGGTATGGTAAGATACTCCTCAGATAGGACCTAAATAATGACGTAAACAATAAGGTCCATGTACTTCACACAGACAAGGAGTCAAGGTCGTCTTTTAACTTTCCCGCCTCGGGCGCCTCTCTTCCTCGGCACGACCCTGGCCATTTTTAAAAAAAAAATTTAAACATTTTTTTTTTGTCTGAAATATCAACCCTAAAATGCTTGTATTGCCTAAACACATCTTGAATTTGTTATTTTGATCCTAAAAGCCTTTCACTTAGGTTAGAATGTCGCCATTTCGACAATGGTCATTAAAAGTCTATTTAATCTATTTTAAAGCTTTATCGCAGTCCAACTCTTTTTATAATTGTACCATAAAATATTGGTCCATTTTTTATTACGGTCATTTGCGTAAAAAAATAGTATCTTTACGTCACTCTCCCAATTGTTTACAGTGGAGATGAATATTGATTTCTGGGTTACAGGATTTTCTTCTGTCATAGTAGTCATAGGCTAATTTTAATTTTCATGTTTTGCCGACTTAAAAACGTGTCAAAAAGACTCAAACGTAAGCGTACTTAGTGCTGATTTGAACATTCATCAGCACGATTCCTAAGGGACAAATAATAATATGTTTTCACTGTCTGAAAATGTCTCCGTCACTGACAGTCAGCTTTGTTCATCGTTCCTTCACTTATGACTATCACATGTTTAAGTTTGACATTCATTTGCCAAGTCATTAGCTTTTTCGTTTATCATCAGTGACAAAATAAAATAATACTTAGAGAAAGAGAGAAAAAGAATACAGTAATTTCCGCATACTGGTAGTGAAAATGTAGTGAATAGTCTAATCCTCTTGCCGTTGCCTGATACTGATACAGAAGTTGTAACCAAGTAAGTCAAATCTGAAGTTATTTCCCAGAGAACAGGAATTTAATTTCATTTCTCTTCTTGAATGAATTTAGTCAGTTTTAATACAGCATTTCTTCTGTATTGTCCAACAAAGTCAAGTCAACTTTCCTGGTAGGACCTAAGACACATGAAAATATTATTTTTAATCTTAATCATAATCACTTAGTTTAATAGTTAAGTAAGATTTTTAACTTGTTAGCTTATATTTAAATTATGAATTTTAGACTTTAGTATAGGACTATGACACACATAAATAGAAATAATAAATAGGCCTACATGGAAAAAATTCAGATTTGATACTCTAGGCCTATGCTATAACTTGTTTATAAAATATAGTAGTAGAATTTGTATGTTTTGATTTTTCTTTTAATTATAATAATAAAAAGCTTCAAAATGTGTTTAAGTTTTTTCTGTTAGCCTCAAATGAAACAATTAATTCTTCTATAATATCTTTAATTTTGAAATGAAGAGGGTTTATTTTTTTTTAATTTTTAATAAATTAAAAATGTATTTAAATGATTGGTTGACATCCAATTGTTACTGAAACTTTTTAAATTTTTTCTTTGCATAGTAATAGTACATAAAAGATAAATTTATTTTTCTTTGCATTACAATAGTACATAAATGATCAACACCTATAATAGTATCCTATACAAAATTACTTTTCTTTAAAGATTGCTATATAAAAGTTGCTCTGAAAGAGTGATGTCTACCACACATGTCTCGACATCTAACAATAAGGTAAGTTTTTCAAGCTGTTCTTACTTTAGAATGGAAGCATCCAATATTTCAGAAAGCTACAGGTTTATTTTGTATATTGGGAGATAAGAAAATATAACTTTTCTTAACAAAATAGGCGCAACAGAATATATTATCTTTTAAACTTTTAAGAATTTTATTTAGTCCATGTCTATATCGCTTGACTTTTTAAGTAACTGCATGGCAAAAATTATATATTAATTCTCTTTCTTAATATATTTCATGTCCATATGAATATGAGCTGTTTATAATCATATTTACTTCAGGCCAAGAATGTATCTTTCTTTTTTTCATTTTTTTTTTTTGTTTGGTTCCTACTCTCTTGTTTGCTTTAAGAAGTTTCATTTAGCCGTAAGAAATATTTATATATAAAAGACTTAATTGTGACAAATTACAGTGACAGTTATGTGATAGACATTGGGAGGTAAGAGCTTTATATGTTCAACTGATTTTGGGATTTAAAATATTAACTAAATAAAATAGTCAGCACAGTCAGACTTTTATCCTTTATCTCTTCTCACTCAAAAAGCTTTCAATGCCATGATCAATATTACCTTCCATTCACATTGTCTCCCCTGATTGTCAGGTTTTACCAGGAGACAAGTCAGGATTGCCATGGGAGATCTGGCAAATTATCCTTGCTTGGCTTTCAGCTGGCGACCTCTGCCATGTTGCATGTGTTTGCAAGACCTGGACAGAGTTAGTTGTCAGTGTGGACTCCTCCAGATGGAAAGAGTTGTATATGAAGTGCAGGTGAAGCTGAACTAGTTTTTGTTTTACGACAGTGGTCCTCAACCTTTTAAGTTCAATGATTGAACCAACCCTTTTGCTTATCTGTACTTATTTTAGTATATCACATTCATTAACAAAATTGATGCCCAATGTTTGATTTGTAATTTCTAATATGCTCTTATGTACACAATTTTTAGGGACTACTGTATTTAATGTAAATAAGGTTTGTTAATAATTAAAAGTCCTGTACTAATCCTTTGTATCACAATTTTTTTACACATTTTCGATAAATATAATAGAAAAAGTTATGAAGTTAGACAGGAAGTTGTGAAATGGAATTCCTTTTTCTTAAGTTAAGTAATTTAGTCTTTACCAACAAGGAAATGTAATTTCTGTGCTCTTAAGTTTAAAATGAGAATAAAATTTGACATTTATCAATAAACTAAATGTCTATAATGCAGTGAATGGCGTCATCCCTTTTGGCCATTGAATGTTGACGCTGAGCCTCCATCTTGGAGACTTGCCTACAGAGACCAGTATATGGCGACAAAGTTCTGGCGAATCAGGCAACATCAGGATGCAAAGCAGAGTTCGTGCACTGCCATTTTCAAGAAGCCTGTGCCTAACAAAAATATCCACGTGGGCCCAGGTATGGGCCACGACAGCTTGAATGCTGCCTTGTCCGTCGCCAATGCCTATGATAGAATAATCATGCACCCGGGGATCTATGACGAGCAGTACGAGGTGGTGGCCAAGATTCCCTTTGAGCTGGTTGGTCATGGCGAGCTGGGGAGTGTCATTCTTGTGGTGGGCATTCAGCAGCTGGCATCCACAACGAGGCTAAGCAATCTAGTACTCAGGGCCCCTTGGTTTACAAGTTTTATTGTAATGGTAAGTTTTGATGTTAAAATTGTATAATTACTCTTCAAGTGAACTTGATCAAATTGTCTCAAATTAAATCTTCACTTCCAATAAGGTCAATAAATGACCATAATGATTGCCCATAATTTTTATTTTGCTTGCACTTTGACCCCTACAGATTAACTCAGGCTACCTTCAAATAGACAATTGTATTATAGAAAATGGGATCATCTGCCTGCAGAGCCCAAGCACTGTGCACATTAAGTTCTGCACCTTCCGTCACACCACTGTGATCCTACAGAACATGAATGCGAGCATCATTGAAAATTGTGAGTTCTCTCAGAGCAGCAGTGCCAATATCATCATAGAAGGGCATCCTAAGGAGTACAAAAGTTGGACTTATTCCTTCCTAAGGGACAGAACCTATGCCATTTATCAGCAGAACCGATCGCTGCACAGGAAAAAGTATGGCCTAAAAGCAAGTGCCAGTATAACTTCTACAATTCATTCATCTTTCACTGGGAAATCCATAACAACCGTCTTCTCTAATCAACATTATGATGCCATATCACATGACCCAAGCTATGGGTTCGACGAACCTGGGGCATCTTTCCTTAATCCCAGTCTCCTCGGGCCTCGATACCTTGGCTCAGACCGGGATGGAATGGTGGGTTGTGGCGAGCTCCAGTCCATGTATCAAGAGTCATTTCCTGTTGATCAGCAGACAGCACCTGTAAAAATGTCAAGCAGTAATGCAAAAGGGAATAGTCACAATCCCGATCTATGTGACCACGACTCCACAATCTCACCCGATGTAAAGGGCAGCTACTCTACTCAGTGTAATGCTGAAATCTCCCCTAAACCCTCAGGCTCTCCATCTCCTTTAGCAAAGATTCACAGACGGTCCTCACTGAAGAGGAATGACAGGCGCAAGAGTGTGGACAGTAGGGTAGGGTTTCATTGTGTCACCAACAGTGGTCCCCTGCAGTCCTTCAGTGGATCTCCAAGTAATGAATTCAAGAGAACGGAGCACTCCAGTGAAATGGACACATCTGACTTAGCAGCAAGTATTGACATCAGGGAACACAGTGGGGTACTTCACAGCTGTAAACGTGTTAGACACGAGTCAGGTAACAAACTGGAATCTGATAGCCTCAAAACTTTAGAACAATGTCATCTTGCGATAGACTCTGCAGTGTTGTCTATAGCGGGTGTTGAAACTGTGAAGAAAGCCAACCATCAAAAACAAGATTCTTCTAAAACTTTTCAGGTCAATGCGTCAGGAGACTGTCCTAAATTTTCAGATTCCAGAAATGGAGAGCTCCGTTCTAAAAGTTGCAATCCCAAGGGGGTCAGGTCAGAAAACCATCCCAGAGAAAATGAGTCTTCCTCTCTTTCAGAGTCCCATTCTAATGAACATCATGGTGATAATACCAACAATAACTCAACTAAATCTGAGCCCCAACCAGGTCCCAGTGGTCAACAATGTCAAGGCCAATGTGGACCTGATTCATGTAAAGGTACCAAGAACCACCACCCAGCAAGTCAATCTGACCCACCTCCTCACCCAATCAGGAGGTCTCAAAGTGATGAAATTCTCTCAGATTCCAGCTCAGAGGATGATTTGTCTACCCTGAATGAGCTGGAAGATTCTGCATTAGAGGCTAGTGATGGAGATGGTGAGTAATCTCTGGTTTTTCCTCTGCAAATTCTTTACATTTCATTTTTTTACTAGCCCAATATGTTTTCTTTAGACAGACATATTATTAAAATTTCATATTAGTAAAAGTTTAAAAAAAATAATTTTAGTGTGTGATAAAAATGTTAAAACCATGTGTGTCTGGAGACTGAGTTGGAGACTATGTTGGGAGACTGTACTCACTGAGCCACTGGTACACCCACTGAGCCACTGGGACACCCACTGAGCCACTGGGACACCCACTGAGCCACTGATGAAGCCATTTTTATTTTGAACTTGATTTGTTTTTTTAAGGATAAGATTAAGGTACAAATTTTCTACAGAATTGGTTTGAGAGATCTCCATTTTTGTAACAAATATTTGCAGCAGATGCACAGGATGACTTAAGCAGCACATCTTCAGACAGCAGCCAGGCCAACAGCCTAAACTACAGCAACTCTGAAGACAATCTGTCATCCAGTGAAGACTCGGTCATCATGCTGCCACACCTGCAAGAGATGCATGCTGACCAGTCTGATCTGGCATCGCTGGACATGAAAGCTGAGGTGGAGTCCATCAACAGTGAATGTACCAGGCCTGTCCCAGTCAATGTGTCTGAAGATACACTGATGAGGTGAGCCTCAGTCAATACGTCTGATGACATACTGATGCAGTCAAGATATGTTTCTTAATCAATTTTCACATCTTAATAGATGTACATGTGTGTGTATATACAAGTATGTGTGTTTGTGTGTGTCTCTGTGCCTATGATAAACAATTAAGTTTTTGTTCTATCTTAAGAGTATTCATTACCATCCCTTGTGAGGTATATTAGTGTGTTATGTGTATGGTATGCTAGTGTATTGTGTGTGTGGTATGTTAGTGTTGTACATTTGTGTGGTATGTTAGTGTGGTATGTTTGTGTGATATGTTTGGTATGTTTGTGTGGTATGTTTGTGTGATATGTTTGTGTGGTATGTTTGTGTGATATGTTTGGTATGTTTGTGTGGTATGTTTCTGGTAAATTAATGTGGTTTGTTTGTGTTTTATGTTTGTGGTATGTTCATGTGAAATGTTTGTGTGGTATGTTTTTTGATATGTTCATGTGATATATTTGTGGTACATTAATGTAGTTTGTTTGTGTTTTATGTTTGTGGTATGGTAGTCTGGTATGTGCGTGTGATATGTTTGTGATACATTAATGTGGTTTGTTTGTGGTTTATGTTTGTGGTATGGCAGTGTGGTATGTTCATGTGGTATGTTTGTTGTACATTAATGTGGTTTGTTTGTGTTTTATGTTTGTGTTATGGTAGTTTGGTATGTTCATGTGATATGTTTGTGGTATGTTTGTGTGATGTTTTTTTTTATAACTTAGTGGTGTGTTTTTGTTTGCATTGTTGTCCTAAAAATGTTTAAGTGTCTGACCCAATGACATTCATCTTGGCACTATTTGTCTACCTCAGCATCTATGTAGGTCAAGTTCAAGGCTGCCTGATCCACCAATGCCGAATGAACCACAGCAAAGGGGGCGTGGTCATCAGTCTGCAAGCCCACGCCATCATCTCGGAGTGTGACATCAGCAATGTGGGCTATGGCATTCGGTGTATACAGAATGCGAGGGTAAGTTCGATTCAAATGGTTTGTTTGTAATGAGATTCAATGATCACTTTCCAATTCAATGAACTTTCCAGGACACCTATCTGATATTGAAATTACTTATCAATTTAAATATAGACACATTGCCAGTCACAAACACTCTGAAACCCTGAATAGTGTCAAAATATTTTATGCTAGTTTTTACAAGTTTTATTTAACTTGAAATTATTTGTGTTCACACTTTGCATTTGTACAATTTCAATCTTTGAGCTGTGCACACATTGAATCACAATGACATCTTCGAGCTGTGCACACATTGAATTACAATGACATCTCTGAGCTGTGTTAACATTGAATCACAATGTCATCTTTCAGCTGTGCACACATTGAATCACAATGACATCTTTGAGCTGTGAACACATTGAATCACAATGACATCTTTGAGCTGTGCACACATTGAATCACAATGACATCTCTGAGCTGTGCACACATTGAATCACAATGACATCTTTGAGCCATGCACACATTGAATCACAATGACATCTTTGAGCTGTGCACACATTGAATCACAATGACATCTCTGAGCTGTGCACACATTAAATCACAATGACATCTTTGAGATGTGCACACATTGAATCCCAATGACATCTTTGAGCTGTGCACACATTAAATCACAATGACATCTTTGAGCTGTGCACACATTGAATCACAATGATATCTTTGAGCTGTGCACACATTGAATCACAATGACATCTCTGAGCTGTGCACACATTGAATCACAATGACATCTCCGAGTTGTGCACACATTGAATCACAATGACATCTTTGAGCTGTGCACACATTGAATCACGATGACATCTTTGAGCTGTGCACACATTGAATCACGATGACATCTCTGAGCTGTGCACACATTGAATCATGATGACATCTTTGAGCTGTGCACACAATGAATCACAATTACATATACAGCTGAAACTTTAAATACAGCTTCAATTTATAGTGCATTTGAATGTTTCAAAATGGCATACCTATTACATCCTGACATCATGAACAAACATCATTTGAAAACACTGATGTCAATGCTTGACTCAATATTATATTATAATATGTCATGTTTAATAATTTTATACAATTAATTGAAGCTGCCGTTTAGATCGGGTGACAATTGTTTCTCTAGAATTAACAACTTATAAAATAAAATAACGCCCTTAAGCCTAGCAGATGAAAAAGGGGGGGGGGGGGGAGGTCGGGGTTTGAAGACTAAACATTTTGATTCCTGTTTGTTTTTTCATAAAGGCAAAAATATTACTCTATCCCAAAAATGTGGCTGGAATTTTTTTTTTTTAAACGGGTGTTGAAATATCTGTATCATTATTGTATGTTTCAAATACCTTTTGAAAAAACAGTGTGTTTCAAACTGCTGTATGTTCAAAGGGGTATATGGCATTAGTTACACCTCTGTATTACTGTTGTTAAAGGTCGTAATACTCAAGAATAAAATTCATCATTGCCGCACATCTGGGATTTTCATGCGTCTTGCTGCATCTGGGCTGGTGGCAGGAAATGACATCCACTCAAACAATGAAGCTGGGATAGATATTCGCAAGAGTGCAGATCCTCTTGTACAGGTAAAACCAATCAAATTTTTATGGTTTATTTTTGAAATTAAAACTTTTGTTCATTTAACGTAGATTTTAATTTTAAACAGAGTTTCATTTCTATCTACTGAGCATTCACTCAGTGGTTTTTGCACTGTTATGACCCCTAGCTCACCCCAACCCCACCCCTCCCTTGTTACAGTACAATCAGATTCACCATGGCAAGAGGTCTGGAGTCGTGGTTCTTGGCAGCGGGCGTGGGCGGATAAAGAAGAATGACATTTACTGCAATGCCGAGGCTGGTGTGTACGTCCTGTTTGGGGGTAACCCAACCATAAGGTAAGGCGGGTCTGAGGCTGGTAGTAACCCAACCGTAAGGTAAGGTGGGTCTGAGGCTGGTGTGTACGTCCTGTTTGGGGGTAACCCAACCATAAGGTAAGGTGGGTCTGAGGCTGACAGTAACCCAACTATAAAGTAAGGTGGGTGTGAGGCTGATAGTAACCCAACTATACGGTAAGGTGGGTCTGAGGCTGATAGTAACCCAACTATAAGGTAAAGTGGGTCTGAGGCTGATAGTAACCCAACTATAAGGTAAGGTGGGTCTGACGCTGATAGTAACCCAACTATAAGGTAAAGTGGGTCTGAGACTGATAGTAACCCAACTATAAGGTAAGGTGGGTCTGAGGCTGATAGTAACCCAACTATAAGGTAAAGTGCGTCTGAGGCTGATAGTAACCCAACTATAAGGTAAAGTGGGTCTGACGCTGATAGTAACCCAACTATAAGGTAAAGTGGGTCTGAGGCTGATAGTAACCCAACTATAAGGTAAAGTGGGTCTGACGCTGATAGTAACCCAACTATAAGGTAAGGTGGGTCTGACGCTGATAGTAACCCAACTATAAGGTAAAGTGGGTCTGACGCTGATAGTAACCCAACTATAAGGTAAAGTGGGTCTGACGCTGATAGTAACCCAACTATAAGGTAAGGTGGGTCTGACGCTGATAGTAACCCAACTGTATTTTTAAAGGAAAAAATGGTGTGGATTTAGCTCACTGTGATTATTGAATCCATTGATTGCATCCATTGATTGCATCCATTGATTGCATCCATTGATCATATTCAAATATTAAAAGAAATATTGCCCAATCAAAAATGGTGCCTTTACTTTCTAATTAATTTTTTCAGAATATAAAAGACATTTTTCAAATATAGGTACTATTACTCCTATTGCTACTATTGCTACTGTAACTACTATTGCACTATAACTACTTTTACTATTCTTCAATTGTTCACAATTTATTTATTGATCAAATGTCTAATGTTCTTCCAAATTGTATGCACTGATTAATGTATTAGAAATCTATTCAACGGACAAAAATATTTTTATCATACAGTGAAAATTACATTTATGAAGGGAGAGCAGCTGGTGTGGCCATAAATGCTGGTGGTAAAGGCTGCGTCATTGGTGAGTTATTCGCCTTGTCTTAAGGTCACGCTATGGTAATAATCCTCCACAGTAATGTCTTTGATCATCGAGCTAGACAGGATAGATGTGGGTAAAGCCCTTTTAAAGTGGTAGGGGGGTCACACCAGCGGAGAAAACTGAACATTAATCAAGCCACGGAAATCGGCATCAAAAATGTTCATAGTGATATATTTTATGACATTTTCATAGTGATATATTTGATGACATTTTCATAGTGATATATTTGATGACATTTTCATAGTGATATATTTGACGACATTTTCATAGTGATATATTTGATGACATTTTCATAGTGATATATTTGATGACATTTTCATAGTGATATATTTGATATTTTCATAGTGATATATTTGATGACATTTTCATAGTGATGTATTTGATGACATTTTTATAGTGATGTATTTGATGACATTTTCATAGTGATATATTTGATGACATTTTCATAGTGATATATTTGATGACATTTTCATAGTGATATATTTGATGACATTTGCATAGTGATATATTTGATGACATTGCATAGTGATATATTTGATGACATTTTCATAGTGATATATTTGATAACATTTTCATAGTAATATATTTGATAACATTTTCATAGTGATATATTTGATAACATTTTCATAGTGATATATCTTACGATGTGACCCTGGCTAAAAATGTAAGCCTCTCCCTCAGTTGTGTCTCGGTGACCTTGACCCTTCATGTTTATGGTTCTTGTATTCAAACAGACAATGTCATAAGGGCCAACAAGTGGGGAGGTATTGACATTAGAAATGGCAGCTGCCCCCTCATCAGCGGCAACACCATCACCAATGGTGTCAGTGACGGCATCGTTGTGGGGACTGGTGGCAGAGGGATCATTGAAAACAACTTCATCAGCGGTGAGAAGTTTCAAATATTGGCATTGTCGTATGACACCCCCACCCACCCACACGTACACACTACATTTCATTTAGTGTAAGGGAATAAGTTGTAATGGAATAAGTTGTAAGGGAATAAGTTGTAAGGGAATAAGTTGCGAGGGAATAAGTTGTAATAAGTTGTAAAGGAATAAATTGAAAGGGAATAAGTTGTAAGGGAATAAGTTGTATGGGAATAAGTTGTAAGGGAATAAGTTGTAAGGGAATAAATTGTAAGGGAATAAGTTGTGAGGGAAGATATTAAATCATTTATTTAGATAGCACTGTGTTACGCTTTTGTTTCTCCAATATAAAATGACAGTTTTGCTTTCTGACCATTTTATTCTTCTTTGGAATATAAGATAACTGTTTGTCTGCCCACCAGGCAATGCTGGCTGTGGGATGTGGCTGCTGACCGCCAGGGATCTGTACATTCACGGCAATCAGATTTGTAACAGCGGACATTGTGGGATCATGTTAGTGGACATGAATGTGAGTTGATCATGTTCTAAGTCCCTGTCATTCGGATGTTCTAGTTCCCTGTCATTAGGATGTTCTATTTCCCTGTCATTAGGATGTGATATTCCTTGTCATGATGTTATCTATATCCCAGTCCCTTGTCATTAACATATTGGTTGTGTCCTTGTTCCCTGTCATTAACATGTAGGTTCTGTCCTTGTTCCCTGTCATTAACATATTGGTTGTGCTCTAGTTCCCTGTCATTAACATGTTGGTTGTGTCCTAGTTCCCTGTCATTAACATGTTGGTTGTGTCCTAGTTCCCTGTCATTAACATGTTAGTTGTGTCCTAGTTCCATGTCATTAACATATTGGTTGTGTTCTAGTTCCCTGTCATTAACATATTGGTTGTGTCCTAGTTCCCTGTCATTAACATGTTGGTTGTGTCTGAATTCCCTGGCATTTACATGTTGGTTCTGTCTTTGTTCCCTGGCATTAACATGTTGGTTGTGTCTTAGTTCCCTGTCATTAACATATTGGTTATGTTCTAGTTCCCTGTCATTAATGTTTGTTGTGTCTTAGTTCCCTGTCATTAACATATTGGTTATGTTCTAGTTCCCTGTCATTAATATGTAGGTTCTGTCCTAGTTCCCTGTCATTAGCATTTTAGTTGTGTCCTGTGATTAAGATGTTGGTTATGTCCTTGTTTCCTGCCATTAATATGTTGGTGACGTCCTAGTTCTCTGTCATTTACATGTTGATTGTATCCTAGTTCTATCATTAAGATAATGGATGTGTTCTATTTCACTGTAATTAAGATCTTGGATGTATTCATAATATCTGGACATACTGGTGTGATTAAGTCATACAAGGAAGGGTGCCACAATTGAACTCAGTCATAGAAGGAAGTGGGCCACATTTGAACTCTGTCTTAGAAGGAAGGGTGCCGCAGTTGAACTCAGTCATAGAAGGAAGGGTGCCACAGTTGAACTCTGAAACCAGTACAATATGGCTGACACCCTGGCACTAGATGGACCATCTGAACACTAGTCATGTGACATAAAACAATAATATTAAAATAGACAAAGTTAGAAAGTTTATATCTTTTAAATAATTCTAACCTAAGAATTCCTGAGGTGAATTTTCAACAATTTCTTTCATAAAATAATAATTTTAATTCGTCTGTTAAATAATATTGATTTAAATCCTGACTTTTGAATTTGATCTATGCCACATAATCTGATTATACGCATGGACTTCCTACACTTTATCTGTCCACATATCATCTTCCCAAACTTTATCACCCCACACTTTATCTGCCCACACATCTCCCCACACTTTATCCCCCCACATTTTATCTCCCCACATATTATCCTCTCTCAGTTTATCCCCCCACACTTTATCTGCCCACAGATATTATCTTCCCTCACTTTATCTCCCCACACTTTATCTGCCCACACATCTCCCCAACTATGTTGCACCACACATTAATCTCTCCTTACTTTATCTCCCTCACTTTATCTGCCCACACATTATCATCTCTCACTTTATCACCCCTCACTTGATCTCTACACATTATTCCTTCTTATAGACATTTGGTTCTGATGGGCTAGTTGACCAAAACCAGTTGATGACCAGCCTCAGCAGCCGTACGTATCCAGAGAATGATGAAGGCTGCTTGTTTACAGAGCCTCACTCAACATGGGCCATAATCCAATATAACAATATCTACCACAATAAAGGTAATACATTATCCAATACAACAATATATACCACAATAAAGGTAATAAATTATCCTCTAAATTAATAAATACCCCAAATAAGGTAATCCATTCTTAAATATAACAATATATACCACAATGAAGGTAATAATCTAATACAACAATACATACCACAATAAAGGTAATCCATTATCCTTTAAATTAATAAATACCCCAAATAAAGTAATCCATTCTCAAATACAACAATATAAACCACAATAAAGGTAATCAATCATCAGTACAACAATATTGACAACAATAAAACTTAACTATTATTCCGTACAACAATATCTACAGCATAAAGGTAATATGTGGATCACATTATATATTTAGTGTAAAATGAACTTTCAATGTTTAGTGTAAGATGTACTAGAAATGATTTAGGTTAAAATGTTGAGCAACAAATATTGAGTATAAATCTTGTCAGTCTCAGACCACAGTGCCCTGGTTCAGATCAGTTTGAATTTTGTGATTTCAGACCATGGTGCCCTGGTTCAGATCAGTATAAATCTTGTCATTCTCAGACCATGGTGCCCTGGTTCAGATCAGTATAAATCTTGTAATGTCAGATCATAGTGCCCTGGTTCAGATCAGTATAAATCTTGCCAGTCTCAGACCATGGTGCCCTGGTTCAGATCAGTATAAATCTTGTTACTTTCAGACCATGGTGTCCTAGTTCAGATCAATGAGGAGGTGAGGTTACTGTTCAATGCCATCCACGGCAACCAGAAGGAAGGCATCCACATATCCCAGAGTGCATCTGTGGTTGTCAAAGGCAACAGCATTACAAATAATGGCCGAAATGGTGTCTTCTGCTCAACCCAAGAAAAGGTTTTGGTTTTTATTAATTTCAAATGTTTGTTTACATGGCATCCATTTGGTTTCTAGTCTGCTGTACGGGGCTGAACGTTTTTAAATATACAGAGCTTTATGACTGCATGGAGCTGAAAAGTTAAATGTCATCTAATCATTAAATGTTATCAAATCATTAAATGACATCAAATCATTAAATGTCATCAATTCATGAAATGTCATCAAATCATTAAATGCCATCTAATTATTAAATGTCATCAATTCTTTAAATGTCATCAAACTATTAAATGACTTCAATTTATTAAATGTCATCAATTCATTTAATGACATCAAATCATTAAATATCATAAAATCATTAAATGTCATATAATAATTAAATGCCATCAAATCATTAAATACCATCGAATCATTAAATGTCATCAAATCATTAAATGTTATCTATCATTACATGGCATCAAATCTTAAAATGTTACATAATCATTAAAATGTCATCAAATCATTGTCATCTGATCATTAAATGTCATCAAATCATTCAATGTCATCAAATTATTCAATGTCATCAACTCGTTATTCAGATCATTTAGTTAGGTATCATCTTGTCAAGTTTCCAATGTTGTTTATCTATCTCCTTGGCTCCCATCAGACTCACATCTCAGAGAATGGTGTCTATGGCAACGCACAGCATGGAGTAGTTTGTAACAACAGTTGTGTTGTAGAAGGCAACGATATTGTTGGCATGACACTGAGTGCAATTTTAGTGGAAAGAAACAGCCATGTAGAGGTAACCTAGACCTGTTAACGTTACAAGTTGAGGTAGCCTAGTCCTGTTAAAGTTACAATGTAGAGGTAACTTAGACCTTTTAAAGTTACAATGTAGAGGTAACTTAGACCTGTTAAAGTTACAAGTTGAGGTAACCTAGTCCTGTTAAAGTACAATGTAGAGGTAACCTAGACCTGTTAAAGGTACAATGTAGAGGTAACCTAGACCTGTTAAAGGTACAATGTTGAGGTAACCTAGACCTGTTAAAGTTACAATGTTGAGGTAACCTAGACCTGTCAAAGTGACAATGTTGAGCTAACATAGACATGTTAACGTTACAATGTAGAGTTAGCTTAGACCTGTTAAAGTGACAATTTAGAGGTATCCTAGACCTGTTTCAGTTACAAACTAAATCTGATTTCTGAAAAAAAAGTTATAATAATTTTGTAATCTCTATCTACAAAAATATCAAAGTTGTTCAAAGAAAAATGGTATTTCATGTTAATATGAATCAAATTTGCTGAACAGTTGGCATGGGAATATCACACTTTAAGGAAAACCATTCTTTTAAGTACATAACACAATTCTAGGAATACCACATTGTTAGTAATAGCACACTGTTAGGAAAAGCATACTGTTAGGACTACCACACTGTTAGGAAAAGCATACTGTTAGGACTACCACACTGTTAGAAATAGCATACTGTTAGGACTACCACACTGTTAGAAATAGCATACTGTTAGGACTACCACACTGTTAGAAATAGCATACTGTTAGGACTACCACACTGTTAGAAATAGCACACGGTTAGGACTACCACACTGTTAGAAATAGCATACTGTTAGGACTACCACACTGTTAGAAATAGCATACTGTTAGGACTACCACACTGTTAGAAATAGCACACGGTTAGGACTACCACACTGTTAGAAAAGCATACTGTTAGGACTACCACACTGTTAGAAATAGCATACTGTTAGGACTACCACACTATTAGGAAAAGCATACTGTTAGGACTACCACACTGTTAGAAATAGCATACTGTTAGGACTACCACACTGTTAGGAAAAGCATACTGTTAGGACTACCACACTGTTAGAAATAGCATACTGTTAGGACTACCACACTGTTAGGAAAAGCATACTGTTAGGACTACCACACTGTTAGGAAAAGCATACTGTTAGGACTACCACACTGTTAGAAATAGCATACTGTTAGGACTACCACACTGTTAGAAATAGCACACTGTTAGGACTACCACACTGTTAGAAATAGCACACGGTTAGGACTACCACACTGTTAGAAATAGCACACGGTTAGGACTACCACACTGTTAGAAATAGCACACGGTTAGGACTACCACACTGTTAGAAATAGCACACGGTTAGGACTACCACACTGTTAGAAATAGCACACGGTTAGGACTACCACACTGTTAGAAATAGCACACGGTTAGGACTACCACACTGTTAGAAATAGCATACTGTTAGGACTACCACACTGTTAGAAATAGCATACTGTTAGGACTACCACACTGTTAGGAATAGCATACTGTTAGGACTACCACACTGTTAGGAATAGCACACGGTTAGGACTACCACACTGTTAGGAATAGCATACTGTTAGGACTACCACACTGTTAGGAATATCACACTGTTAGGAATATCACACTGTTAGGAATATCACACAGGAATATCACACTGTTAGGAA